CAACCGAACCTCCACCGGAGATTCTTAGCACCCCCTGCCCCGCCGTTACCATGGTCGCCACCATAGCCAGGAATAGCGGCGCCTCCGGGGACTGGAGATCGTTTCTTTGTTACTCTCATCATGGAAAGGGGGGGTATTTGCCATAGTTGCCACACTTGGCGAGCGGGTTGGCAACCGCAGTTTATTTTATTGTAATTTTGCTTTTATCACGAAGATGCTGCTGCCCATCTCCTGCCTGCTTTCCACTGTCGCCTCTTACAACACCCACTGGAAGATATGGGATAGTGGATATTCTTAACCGCCACACGACAACGGTACGGGCCAACTGAGAGGCTACTTTTTCCAATTACATACAAAACTATAAAAAAGGAGGGTAATATTTTTTCTTCCTTTAGAAGTAAATTTTTACGATGGTTATTAATCATTACAAAAATTAACTTCTAAAACTTAACTTTCTTTCTTCTTCGTCATAAAATACGATTTTAGAAAAGGAGGAACTTCTAATTCGATTGTGTTTTCTTCTTTTTTATTGTATATGTTACGTGATATTTTTACCAATAGTGAATATTTTTTTATTAAATAGATTAACAGTATGGAAAAATAGGGAAAGATTTTAATATATCTATTTAGACGACATTCTAGGTGTTACCTGGTGTTTGTCGTATTTCAAATGGATCAACAATTAAAGTCTAAATAAATAATTTAAAATTTTGTACAACCGACTTCAATATGAATTATTAAGAATAACTCAATAACTATTAGCCAGGCCTTAATCAAATTTATATGGGACCACATGAGGAGAATCGGCTTTCAAACAAAAAGAGACTCATCGAAATCGATTCACCCAGAAAAAAATTTTGAGTGAACACACATAAAAAAAACATTCAGTCGATTTGAGTACCTTCTCCTTTTTGAAGTCGGTAGAAAACAAAAACCGTCTGCAAAAGAATTTAATGATTTCCTTATTATACCGTATAGTGGCGGTGTAAGAACAACCACTACCCCATATCATGCCGTTGGTTTTGTAATAGTCGACAGAGAAAAACAAATCAGGATATATATATATATATATATATATATATATATATATATATATATATATATATATATATAACCTCCTAATAACGACTAAAATTAAAAAATGCGGTTGTTGATTCGTTTGACAAGCGTGGCAACTATGTCAAATATCTCCCCTATGAGTCAATCTATGGGGGAGGCCTGTGTTCAGTAGTGGACTTTAATAAACTGTAACAGTAACGGTAGCTTCTGAAGTCAGCGTTTAATTCTCCGATTCATCATGTCCTAGCAGCATAAAAACCCCTCCTATAAAATGAAAGAAAATAAATTCATTTTAAAATTTATTATCACAAATCTCTACTCTACCGACGTGAATAGCATTTAACTTATGTTATAAGTTTAAAGTCAATTGGTTTCTTTCAAAGCTTTTAATGTAATTGCAGAAGATCTCTTGAAGTCAGAAGGTATTCAACTAATTCGCTTCCGTTTTCTGTGGTAGAGCTCTTTTAGTCGCTTGAAATAGAAAAATTATTCTTTAACATTATTAATGGCGAATACTCGAATTAGTTTTACATGAATGATACATTTATACAGTAAACCAATTGACTCTTTTTAGGGTTCCGTAGTTATACAACAAGAAACTCTTATAGTTTCGCCATGTCCGTCCGTCCGCGGTTTTACTCAGATACCTTAGATGCTGCAAATCTGTAATTTGGCACAGTAGATTAATTGCGCCTGCATAACTGTGAACTAAAATCTTAAAAAAAAATTTATTTTGGGTACCCATACAGGTAAGTGGAGTGTAATTTTTTTTACCCGTCTATTCCACCGTGTTGGCTATCGTTGAACAGATCTTTCAAAAACACTGGAGGTGTGGACGAACATATATTTGATTCAGGGGTCCGTTTGCGAAATATTTAGCTTTAAAGTGGTATTTTTCATTAGAGTTATCCCCATCCCCCCCACCAACTAAACCACTGTTTTTGTAAATGTGAAAAATATACACAATCGTAGTATATATAATGAAGTTAAAAGGAAAACTATTACAGCTAAGTAGAATTAACAAGTTAACGAGTAATAGTCGAGCAACTTATAAAATGCACTTGGTTTAGTAAAAAACTATTTGCAACTCCATAGAATTTGAAAGGGACGAAGAGAGAACGAAGTGTGAAATATGGGTAAATCAGGAATGTCTAGAACAGGTAAATGAAATTGTATACTTGGGGAGTGCTTTTAGCCGGGATGGAAGATATGATTTAGATGTGGACAGGCGTGTCGCTGCCGGGAACAAAGTCAATGGTGCCCTGACAGCGTTAGTCAAAAGGCAAGGCGTAGTGAAGAGTGCACGCCTTGCAATACATAACGCAGTGTTGGTACCGACTTTGTTATATGGCAGCGAAACCTGGGTATGCCAGAAGAAGCATAAAAGCAAGTTGAATGCAGTGGAGATGCGATCTCTTCGTAAAATGTGCGGCGTTACCATGGCCGACCGAAAGCGAAACGAAGAGATTCGCAATATGGCAGGTTTGAAAGATGACCTTATCACAAAAATTGATAAGGGCGTGCTTCGGTGGTTTGGGCACGTTGAGCGAATGAGTGAAGACCGAATGGTGAAGAAAATATATAGCGCGAAAGTTAATATTAAAAGGTGTCGAGGTAGACCGAGACTAACTTTCTAAGACCATGTGAGCAAATTGCTCGAAGAGGGTAGAGTCAAGAGTACTCGGATACATAGACGTGCATGTATGAAGAAGATAATGAATCTGAAAGAAACGAAAGAGGTATGTAAGGATCGTGACACTTGGCGATCTGTTCTCTCTGGCTACCCCGTCAGGGATTGTGCGTGAAGATAAGTAAGTATAACTCCATAGAAAATTAAATAAAATTAGCTGCATTATAACTTTGTAAGGTTTTTGTAAACTGTAAGAAATAAACATTTTATGAAGAAAACAGCTTATATGCCTACTACTAGCTACTAAGTAAAGCTGTTACTACAATAGCTTTACTTTTTCATTTGCGGGATAGGCAAGGAGGATATTCCTTACTTACTTAATACTGTCGCTTACTTTTAGCTGGTAGTTATTGTATGCATCATTCAAAGTATTCATACAATCATATAGCCTCACATAGTTTCATTCGTCATACTCTTGGTTTACGCGGGTGACCCTCAAGATGATTTAGGGCAGTGATGGTTTACGGGAAGGTTCATTACGGTCATATATATCTTAGGGTTGCATTGCCGGGAATATATGGATAGATAGTTCAACAATGACCATCTTTGTACGGTGTTGGGTTGTGAGTCATTTGATGTATATTATTTACAAAATCAAAAAGTTTTTTCCATCTTTTTTGAATACCACTTCCTATAAGTCTGATTAGAAACTAAGTCCTTCAGTTATCATCGTCCTATTTTGACATATTTTCAGCCGTTGTAGCGATCAAACCGCGAACTCACTTGATGTGCTCTTTATCAAGAAAGTCCACGTATTGCGACAGGCAACTACGGAACCCTACCTCTACATTGTGCGTGGCCAGACGCACTTGACCAGTTTTTTACAGTAACGTCCAATTACAAAAGTCATAGTCCTCCTTAGAAGGTTTAAAAGGGATTTTGCCATACTTGCCACGCTTAGTGGTCAGGCAACGTTCAGTTTAGTTATAATTTAATTGGAATGCATAGAAATAATCTCATCATATTATTCAATAAAATATTTTTAAATAATTTATTGACCTAGCATTAAAATATACAATACTTTCACCATAATAAAAAATCTGAAACTTTTTTTTTCTTTTTATAGAATAAGGGTGACAAACGAGCACACAGTCCACCTGATGGTAAGTGGTTGCTGCGGCCCATAGACATCTACATCTATCCTCTATTACAAATCAAAATGTAGATGCGTTGTCACCCGTGAGGACTAAGATGGAATGCCTCATTTCCAGTAAAAAGGGCCTCCGGCCACCTGCACTAACCAAGCGAAACGCAGAGGTAAATCTCTACTTCACGCTGGTTTTCTGTGAGGTCGTGGTACCACCCCGGTTCGAGTCGGCCCATCCGTGCGACAGCAAAAGCTGCCGCGTGACTCTACCACTGTTAAATGTCGAAACTAAAAAGTTATATTATCATGCAGTCCTACTCCCTACGGTGTAGTGCCAAAAATGCTGGCTGCGTGTCCTCGCTAAATCGCTATACTTAGTGGACAGAGTTCCTTTAGGAACTTCACCGCAGGCTCTCCACAGAGCAAACAGCAAATGGCAGAAATAAGGTCATCTCTCTGAGACTCATACTTGCGCTGCTTACTCAGTCCAGTCGTCTCTGATCCGCCCCAGTTCTAAACTAGGTACCCCTGAAAGAAGAGGCTCCGAAAGTGTCGATGCACATGGCATTCTACTCTAGGGCTTTATTTTAAAGGATCGGAAGATTCTATCACAGTTAAGGTATATCGTCGGGTCTCCTGCCTACGTCTCAAAATACTCCTCAAGGCTCTAAAATCGAGGTGACATAAATAATATTTAAAATGAATATTTGACCTTTGTTTGATATAGGTACACGACTAAGTAAAGTTTATTATCCCAAGAAGGAATCTATTAAAATTGCCTTAATGAAATTTATTATGCAAATAAAATTGGACCCTCCCTCGTTCTTCGTAGTATGGCTACGACCTCGATTTTCGACCCTAATAAATAGAGATGAATATCAAAAGTAATGTTACTTCAATTTACATCTTTAGCAATGTCGCCCGCTAATAAAGTGTCACGCGTGAGAAAACTGGACCGTTAGCTGACTTGACACAGTTTGGTCCCTCATTCTTTATATCGACGCTACTATTAAGTGGCAATACTTACAGCAGATGGCTGCGTAAGGGAGTTTCAGAATAATAAAATATTGCGAGTGCTCTTTAGAAAGATTAATTGATTATAAAAAAAAATTGATTATACTGTATTATGAGCTTCTAAATTGATTAAAATACTGAGTACTAATCATGCTGTTTAAAATTAAATTGTTGGTTGTTTTTATGTTACTGTGTTGCTTTGTGAAAGTATGTTTTTCTTATGATGAGGAAAACAAATACAAGAAACTGTCACGGAGGAAACGATACGTCTCCTTTCCTGAAGGGTCAAGTTTTTCGGTGAGTTTCCTTATATAATTTAGTATCCGCCTTACATATGACTGTCGATAAGGTTCTGTCACATTTAAAGTTATATGACCCTATTTCCTCTTCTTTGACAACCTTACTTTAGTAAAGTGAAAGTAAACTGAAGCCCAATATGGAATGCCTCGTAATCAGTAATAAGGGACTCCGGTTCTTGGTACTCACAATACAATACACAGCACCATTATACTGCTGTTTAAACCCAGTAATCTCTTTGAGCGTGGTCCTTCCACGGTTTAGATGATGATTGTATAGAAAAGGTTACATTACGTTTTTTTTTTTTAATTTGAATTATTTATTGTATCATTATTTTATTTCTTAACCCTATATCGTTCTATTGACGGTACTATTGACTAAGGGAAAACAGATAGATCTTATTTCCACAGACAGATAGATGTATTGATTTTCAATACGATCTACAACCCGTGCACATAATCCCGTCGGTGAGGACAGTATTCTCGCTTGTTTGAGCCGAAATTTTATTGTCTGACATAGGGAGTAGAAACGGGAGTAAGGGCGAAAAAGTACCCCCTTAAAATTGTGTAATGTTTAATTTATCGATTGAAATTTCAGTGCGCAGGATGTATGACAGTAGGTGTGATTGGTCAGCCAGCACCGTCTTCTGCGCCGGGTACCTTCACCTTCGGCATGAATTGGGGTATAGCGTATGAGCTTCCAAACTCAACAGAAACAGCTCAATTTTATCACAAAAAGCACAGAAAACCGATTGCACAAAGACGAAGCAGAAGAGAACTGTATGAGAAGATAGAACTGATCCTTGATAAGTAAGTTAATAATTAATACGATTATTATGTAATAACATGTGAAATGTAGCAAAAAGCGGAATGACTATCATGAGCTATTAATAACTATGAATTTCTTCGTCAATTATGAACCGATTTTGAATTTTTTTAGTGTTAAATAGACAAATAGTACATTAGAGGTGGTCCAACATACATTTGGAGAAAAACTCCACTCCTAAGGTTAGCAAAATAGGGCTTGAATATTTTAATGTTACTCTTAAGATGAAAAGTGATATTCCTCAGTTACTCAGTCGACTCAAAAGGGTAAAAAATTAAATTTTTAGCGAAAAGTAAAATCCCTGACTTCAAATCATTTTACTCCTTTTAATTGTTCGAAGTCGATGTTTACATTTTATTAAAAGTTTCTCCAAATGCGAACTGCATCTAGATGCGGTTCAGTTTGTTAATTGACGGACGAAGCTTTAGCAATCAATTATTAGCGGAAAATCCGTCCAATAATTTTAAACTCAAAATTCACAGACTAACCAAATCAAACGTTACCACGTTGGCAAATCCGAGCTCAAATTAAAATCAGACAAATCATAATAGCATGACCAAACCTTTCAAGTAATGATTACTGGCTAGATCAGAGTAGGTAATAATAAAATAAACTGATTATGTTATTAGTACACTCATTGAGTTATATGTACTACGTACTAGAGAAGTCATTCCGAACATTGACTATGTTCAACTGAACTGTAGTGCAATCCATACAACCTAAATATTGCGTAAATTGAAGATTTGTGAATTCCATAAAATAATTATTATTACATTTTATTTAGAAATATGTTTGTATAGATTAAATTAAGATATTTTATATTCAATTCTTATATTTATTTTATATTTATATCTTATTTTATATTAAGTTTAAGTCTTCGCGCATGCGCGACTACTACTCCCGCACATGCGCGAAGACATAGAGTAGGACATAATTTTTGTTTGGAATGGCTTCTCTAGTACGTAGTACATATAACTCAATGGGTACACTAGTATTTAATTTCTTCATCAATCAGTCGAAGTTCTTCGTGAGGTTTTCCTTTGTGAGCTGGAGGTGACATAATTGCTTCTCTTGGCAGGCGGACTGGAGATTAAAGTACCAGACACACTTGCACCTTTGACTGCTCCCGGAAGCTGGTCTTGAAATTTTGAATAGAGAGTTATACCACCATTGGTATTTCCGTTAGTCATCTCTTACGACGCCCACAGGACGTAATGGTGTTATCACCATACGGCAAGTATTTACAACCAAAGTTTGATCTCCGTTATCTCTGTAAGAAAAGTTAATCGTAATTTAAGTGCTGATTTATAGAATGTCTTACAGACCGAGTTTCGGTCAGTCATGTCGTCGGAGTTACGCCAGTCTTTTCGGTAACTAGCCGTCTACCGAGGACAGGATTGTTTTGCACGAGTGTGGAGTAAGCATAGGCGCACTCTCTATCCGCTACCTTATAGTCCGATAGGACGGCGGCCCGACGTGACCGGAGAGAGAACAGACGGAACACCATTGGTTATTCGTGGTTTCTGAGCACGGGGGTGAAATATTGCCAATTTCCTGACTTTGGGCTGCTACTGTCAATTTATTGACAGAAAAACCTAATAAATGAGCTTGGTCTGATACGGGATTCGAACTCGGGACCGCAAGCTTAGCATTCGTGCTTACAAGCATTGTACCAATGAAACATTAAACGCCGTCTTCCACTATTTAAAAATAAATCACGAACAGTAAAGTCTGAGAATTCAAATATATTACGAGGTTATGTGAAGTCCACCAACACCAATGAGTGAACGCCGTGAAATCTTCCCTACTCCAAAAGCTTTAACTTTATTATTTGTAACAATATTATAACGGACTAGTGATTTATTCATTCATTTGTTCCAGTTTATCAAAAGTCTAATACTGAACAGAGGCCTTCTCCAGAGACTATTCATAGAGGCGATATTCATAGGGACAACCGCAGTTTTTTTTGTTATGAAGAATTGCAAACCAAACATATTCGTGTAGCAGCAATAATACAGCTGTAGCGTTTAACTAGTACGTTTAAAATGTCGTGGGTATTAGACCAACTTCAGCGGAAGCTTTCAAATGTTATTCGAAGTTCCATAAGTATGCGTGAAAACTCAGAGACTCGTCCTATTTTACCTATTCCTTATAATTTAAAGGAACATATAAAATTTATTATATATTATACATTATATATTACATTTTTATAATATGTGCCATTATAATGGATTAGAGGAATGTTAGTTGTTAAATATATATCCCTCTTAGTGCTCGGTGGTGCCAATGCATCTGCATTTTGTATCTTACCTAATTAAAAATAGATGTAAATGTCTCTAGGCAACAGTACCCACTTACCATGACATGGACTATTTGTTCGTTTGTCAGCCAAATTCTATAAAAAAAAAACTAAGTAACCAGCTAGCTACCGGATCATTACGCACAAAACTCTTCCAGAAAGGAGAGTCGTAACTCTCCACGACAGGATAAAAGATCGCTCCAAGCAAAAAACACGCGATCAAGTCTTCCGATGAAAATACCTCGAAAAGTTTTATTTCTTTCATTATTTCACTTTTCTACCTCAGCTTGCTTTAGGCTATTAAACTTTTTTTCCGTTAAATTGTCCCCATTTACCTACAGGAATCACGGTGGTGTTTATTACAAAAAATAAGACCGCTCTTTAAAATATGTCGCCTTTGGGCATACATTCAATCTCTTTACCAAAAAAAAATATTTCTATCTAATGAAGTTAAGTTCTGTTTTCTTGAAAGAAAAAGTTTTCGTTAATTTGCCGGGTCTTGAGTCGAGTACTAAGACGTGACAACGCACCTGCAATTTTGATTCTTAACCGGGGATAAATAAAGATGGTTATAGCGGCCACAGCATCCACTTACCATGTGGAATATGTACTCCTTTGTCACCCATATTCTATAAAAAAAAACATCACTTCATTGGTGTCGTAAGAAGTGACTGTGGAAAGTGCCAAAAATATCACCTTCGTCACCTGTCCATCGTCATCAGTCGTAAATTAGCGAGAAAGGCGATGGGAAGTATTGTCAAAGGTGCGCGATGTCTGACCTTGCGTGTGTCAGTTCGCGTGCCAAGCGTGACAATATAAGAAAATACCGGAGACCCATTTTACTGGAAAAGAGGCATTCCATCTTAGTCCTCACGGGTGACGACGCATCTGCATTTTGATTCTTTATTGAGGATAAATGTAGATGTCTATAGGCCGCAGCAACCACTTACCATCAGGTGGACTGTGTGCTCGTTTGTCACCCTATCCTATAAAAAAAATACAACATACACCAAATGGAAAGTCAGCAGTGGATTTTTAAGAGCCTATAAAAGAGGATGTTGAAGTACCAGGTTGCATACGTTACACTGTTGGGGCTTTATGATAGTTGGTAGTAGTAGTTAGTATGGAGGAATTTGTTGCGCTGTCTCAATTCGTGTTGATGGGCTTCACGTGTCCTTAAAATGTTTTTATTTCTCATATATGGAAATTTTATCACTCTTCTCCGACAAACACGCGATAAACCGCACATAAAATTCGGGTTGTTTGTGTACTCTGAAATTAAAGCTAAACGCATAGCCCTTGAGATATCACGGCTCTTGACGGTGACAAATGGGCAATATATTACGAAGGTTTAATAAAAAGTTAATACTCGCATTCCAGCCAAAAAAATCGGCAAATAGTTAAATTATTCGTTGAGCAACGATTGATTGAATAGATTAAAAGTAAGGTAGCACGGGAACGGTTGCCAACCCGCTTGTCAGGCATGGCAAGTTATTTTTTATAGAAGAGGGGTCAAGGGAGCATACGGCTCACCTGACGATAAGTGACTATCGCATCACCAGGGGAATTGTAGGTGCATTGCCGGCCTTTTAGAAAGGAGTGAGCTCTTTTCTTGATTGTCCCTAATCGTATCGGTACGGAAAAATTGCCGGTGGTAAACTATTCCACATTGAGGTCATACGAGGAAGAAAATTCCTAGTAAAACGCGCAGCGGTGGAACGCCAAGCACCCGGATAGTGTGGATGATATCGGGAGTTTTCCCGCAATGTGCGTTCGTGTAATGTGGCGGCTGGGTTTAATCCGAACAATGAATACTATGGCAAATATACCTCCATGAGGCAATCGGTAAGGGAGGCCTATGTTCAGCAGTAGACTTTAATAGGCTTTTTAATAGGCTGAAACGGTAAAAATAACGGTATACCATTACCGTAAAGTCCACTGCACGGGAATAAACTAAACTAACTCGAATTGTGAATTGTGATAGCAATACTCAAACGCCTCTCTTTGTCTTCGTTACTTGGCACCGACTGGCATCATGATCGCTAGTTAGGACGCAAAAATTTACGCGAATATGTGTTAACTGAGACGTCACTTCCCGCGTAAAACCGTGTATCTAATAGACCTCGTACAGATATCGTGATCGGTAACATGGACGTTTTTGGATAATTGTTAAATAATATCACCCAAATATCTTTTATTATGAATAACTCCCTATACACACACATGCATTCCATTATCCATACATTCTACTACAGTACAAAGTTCATTGCTTATTATAGGTCTCCCCCATAGACCATAAATGATAGCCTTATAGATAGAAAATGCAAAACAGTGATCTCGCTACATATACTTTGATTTTCTGCATCTTACCAAGTCGTCACACCATCAAGTGGGGGTTCGCTGTATAATTTGCATAGTTAGCACGATACGACAATAGGATACGATACCTGATACTCCGCGTCCAATCACTAACCACCGCTACCAATGATGTAAGGAAAATTTGCGCACAAACTTGTCCACTTATAAAGCAGGTTATGCCGCTTAGTTCACATGACATGCTATGATTAAGTGGGGACACGCTTTTCTATACGATATGGTAGTAATGGATGGACATCCATTTATACTAAGTATTCATACGATAATATGCTTGTTAAAGATACGTTAAGATGATCAAATATGAAAAAAAAAAACTTAAAATTAATCTATATCATTTCTGTTATTGAAAAGAAAACATTCATGTTTGAGATATGAATTATGCTGAAAGATAGGAAGACATAAAATATACTTATTTATTGATAGCATCTGATGTTTCTTTGCGGATATATATTGGAACGAAATTCCTTATCGGACGGTACAAATTTGGCGGATGGGGGCTACGCGAGAAAAAGTGTAAGATTTTTCCATCACGATCCCTTCTGACGTAGTGTAGACGGCCTTGGCGGCTATAAGGAAGCGAGATGGAATGATATACATTTCCCTTGCACTTTTCCTTATCTTGCCATGAAAGAAATACCTAGTATTTTATGTTAATTTAAAATCATTTTAATAGACGCTAGTAATTAATTTATTTGTATTTGTTAATCAATAATATTATACGTTTATCAATAATAATAAACTACGAAAGGAACTTCGTTCCAACCAAGTGTTCCACGACACTCATGCATGTTGTTATTCTTAAGTTTATAAAATGATAAATTTGGTAAATGGTAAATTTGCTAAGATGCTCACAAAAGTAAACAATAGTCACAGCCTATATACGTTCTACAGCCAGGCACGGGTCTTTTCTTATTTTCGAGAGGGTTACGAACACATTAATCCTTTCTTTTGCTCCAGTGATGACAGATTTTTTTCTTATGTCTTTGAATTGTTTTTATTATTTATAATAATAATTCCTCACCCTTAAATTATCTCATAGGGAGAATATTTAATACCAGCCTAAAATAACAGTTTAACGCTGTTGTGTTTCGTGTGGTAAGTGTAAAGAAGCGGATACCCTTTTTACTGCAAATAAGGCTTTCCATCTTAGTCGTCAGGAGTGACAACACATCTGCATTTGAACTGCAACTGAGGATATATATAGATGTGGATGTCTATGAGCATTCCACTAACTATTAGGTTAACTGTGTTTGTTTGTCACCCACATTCTTTAAAAAAAATTGCCATAGTTGCCATGAAGGTCATGGTTGGCAATCATAGTTTATTTTTTATTTTTTGGCTCATTTATTAGGAAGAAGCTGCTGCCCATCTTCTGATTTGTTTCCCTCTGTTGCTTCTTACGACATTCACAGGACAATATGGTATAGTGGATATTTTTAAAGTACCACTACCACCATTGCCTGTCTTGCTTGATAAAATCACATGTAACCATTTTTCCCAAAATCACACTGAACACCACTGAATTGTGAATAGAGTTAGAATATAATTCGTATAAAAATTTCAGTATGGGATACAGCGGAAGACAATGTATACTGAAGACACTTTGTGAAACAACTCAGCGCATTGTCCCACATAGCGAGAATATGGTGGAGGAGATATTCCGAACACTTTTTACGTAAGTATTCATTTAAATACTTTTCTTGATTATTTTTTTTTTCTTATAAAATACGTCACACAATGAATTTCTCCTGTATCGTAGAGGGGTTTTACATAAACGTAAATTGCTCACGGCAGAAACCCTAGGTCCGGAACAATTTCTTGTTATCAATGTAAACACGTGCAGGATTCGAATCGAGCGCCTTACAGCCCGTATATCATTACAGCTGTTCACAAGTCCACTCCTGAACATAGACCTTCCCCAAGAAATACCACAAAGCATGGTCCTGAGCTACCAACATCCATCGACTTGTTGATATCTTACCAGGTCCTCACTCTATCTATTGGGGTGACGCCCCACACTTCGCCTGCCACTACGAGGCTGCCACTCGAGAACCTTTCTTCCAAATTGGTTGTTAGTTCTTCGAGCTATATGGCCGGCCCAATTCCACTTTAGCTTACTTTCGTTGGGCTATGTCGGTTCCTCTGGTTCTACTGCGGATATTCTCGTTTTTAAGTCTATCACGAAGAGAAACCCTACTTTAAGCGACTTTAAACTTCCTCATACGACCAGCCGTGAATGACGACGTCTCATCACTGGCAACACGCACTGGTTGTATCTTGTTTGGAAGTTTTGAGGTATGCCTGATGAGAAGATGTGTTGTAATTTCTCGAACAATGCACAGCCGAGTGGAATCCGTCGATTGACCTTTCGGTCGAAGTTGGACTTACCTAGTCGGACTATTTGTCCCAAATAAACTACCGACATAGAATAGAATAAAATAGAATAGAATAATTTTTTATTCAATATTGATTATTACATAATACTTATTGAAAGAAATTTTTTTATTTACCACTGGTTCGGAAAATACCTCAGTCCTGGGAAGAACCAGCAAGAAACCCAGCGGGACTTTTTTTAAACATAATTTCATTTAAAAATAATTTTGTTTATACAATTTTTAAATGATTTTCCATAGAACCAGCATGGTGGCGATCACCCCCCAGGGTTTACTTTCATTCATGCATTCCTTGATATTATAATAACCCTTTTTGTACAGTTTTTCTTTAATAAAACTTTTAAACTTGTTTATTGACAACGTTTGAATATGTTCTGGGATTTTGTTGTAAAAGCGTATACATTGCCCCATAAATGAATTACTGATTCTGTGGAGTCTAGTAACTGGCATTACAAGCTTATGTTTGTTCTTAGTATTTAAAGTATGCACATCCTTATTCTTATTAAAGCTATTTATGTTTTTATGCACATACATTACATTCTCATAAATATATTGCGATGCCAAAGTTAATATGTTTATTTCTTTAAATTTTTCTCTGAGGGACTCTTTACAATTTAGGTTATAAATCGCCCGTACGGCTCTCTTTTAAAAAAATATAGCTTTAATATCAGCCGCATTACCCCATAGCAAAATTCCATAAGACATTACGCTATGAAAGTAACTAAAATACACTAATCTAGCTGTCTCAACATCTGTGAGACTTCTAATCTTTCTTACAGCATATGCTGCAGAACTAAGTCTGCTTGCTAATATAGATTTGTGGGGCCCTATTGAAGTTTCGAGTCAATAGTAATACCAAGAAAAACAGTGGTATCCACAAGACTCAACTCCTCCCCATTTAACAGCACATTGGTATTCGAATGTTTTACATTTGGTATTGTAAATTTAATACACTTTATCTTATTGCCGCTTAAGAGCATATTGTTGGCGTTAAACCAATGTACCAATTTCGATAGAGCATTATTTACATCGTCATAATTAATTAACTGTCGTTTGAGTTTGAAAATTAAAGAGGTATCGTCAGCAAATAATACTATATCGTGATTGTCCCCTACAAGATAAGGTAATTCATTAATATAGATTAAAAACAGGAATTGGCCAAGAATCGAGCTCTGAGGAACTCCCATTGATATCACCGATCCGGAGGAACCTTAAATATGAAGTAATAAGTCTAAGCGCTAAATTTCTTACACCGTAATGTTGTAGTTTCCTGATTAATGTCTCATGATGAACATAATCGAAAGCCTTGGAAAGATCACAGAAAATACCTAAGGCATCTTGTGGATTCTCCCAGGCATTAAAAATATATTTCATAAGCTCAACACCGGCGTCAGACGTCGAGCGACCCCTTGTAAAACCAAATTGGTTTTTATGAAGTAATTTATTTGTATTAAAAAAGTTAACAATTCATTCAAAATTATTTTTTCAAAAATTTTACTGAGAGTTGGTAAGTTACATAGATGTGGCATGGACGTTACACATGTTTTATGTTTTGTCCATGTTGTAATAACGTTGTGTATGTTGTGCTAATAAATGTTATAATTTCACTGTATAAGGTGTTCATTTCTGCTGTTGTTATGCAATTGTCGTCCATTTTTTTTTGTTATCAGTCTGTCATGTAAAAATATGCTCTTAAATTAAATTACACGACACAGTAAAATTCGCTCGAAGTTTACTGTGTAGTGTATTTTAAGTTAATTCAGTCATTAATAAATTAATATAGCATTATTTTATGAGTAATTGGATTATTAAATTATATGTACTCAAAATAGTTGCTTTGCTGAATTCATGTATTTTATTCTTCATTTATACATCTACTTCAGTGTTTGTCAACTTGAGTAACACCACAAGCATAGATTGGTGGTGTAACCCATGTCAACAAACACAGAAGTAAATATTTACTCTACTGCTCAGTTATCGTGAGCTCGTAAAGAGTCCACTGCTGATCAGAGGCTTCTCGTATAATTGGAAAAATGGACCATATTGGAGTATGAAAGTCGATTTTTTATGGGAAAATAAGTAAGGTAGGCCTTGAACAATCTTAAACTTAATACGCGAGCAACCTCCCCAAGACAATTAATTGCAATTTAAAGTGCTGATTTACTAATTGCTCGATATTGAAGGAAAATATAGTGAGGAAACCTGTATGTCTAATATAATAAAAATATATAATAAAAATAAAAAATATTTGAAAGACATGTGAAATCCGCCAACACGCACTGTGCGCGCGTAGCGCGGTGGAAATTTTATTGCCTTAAAACCCTCTCGGAAATTAGAAAAGTTTATCATCTGAATGACAGTAATATCACTTCTCATTTCTGAAAGGGTGACGTATATAGGCTGATGACAACAATCTTAAGTTACATCTTTGGTCACGTATTCCTCAAAATAATAAAAAGGAGGGTACTATCAACGCGCTTTACCTGTGATTACTGATGACATATAGAAATTAGACGTACCCCTTCACTGTTGATACTATGAGGAAGATTCATTAATCCACTCAGAATCAGACAGACTATTTTAACCGATAACAAAACATTCGATCTAAGTCCTTAGTAGTAACAACGCATGTACATTTAGATTCTTATTCGAGGATAAATGAAGATGTCTATGGGCCACAGCACCCACTTACCATCACGTGGACTGTGTGCTTGTCGTTTTTCATCCTTATCAATACTTATAATATTTGTGAGTTTGTTTGTAGGAAGGAATCTCTGGAACTACTGAACGGATTTTAAAAATTATTTTACTGGTGGAAAGCTATATTATTCCTGAGTGACATAGGCTACATTTGATTGTGATTAATAGTATTTTAATGTGAAATAACAATATATGTCCATCAATACCGAAAATAAATCCTAAACACTAAGTACTAAGAACCACACAAGATAATTTCATCACAAGTAAAAATGTTTAACGCCCAGCAAAGTGGGCACGGCACGTCACGGCACGGCACGGGCTAGTTATATATAAAAAATCCACCATTTCACAAAATGATCCACTAATTTATAGTATAATAAATTCTAAAATCAGGCCACAATATGATGTATTAATATATCTTTAGTCAAATTGTAAGAATAATTGAGAGGTTTGCATAATCGCAAGCAGGCTAGTTTTAATCATTTTATTTACATGGTAGTAGTTACTCACCGAGCTATGGCGAGGGCTACGCTTTCAGATTATCTATGTAATAGAATCTGTTATAAATATTTTCGCAGAAGAAACAGACTAATTGACCCAGCCTAAAGGAACAAAAGGCTGAAGTGGGCCGATATCTATACTACCTCGATAAACCGATAACCGCTAGGGAAGAAAGGTTCTATGAGAGTCAGCCTCGTACTGATAGAATAGGCTGCCTAGTAGTTGAAGTGACGCCCTGACAAGACATGCAGGGATTCCGTGGTTGCAGATTATATAGTGTTTGTAACATTTTTTTTGTCTAAGCAATGGAATTACAAAGGACTGTAATGATGATCATAATGATGGAGAATACAGATAACATAGCAAGACTGAAAAGTTTAGCAATGCATACCTTACATGTTATTATAAGCTATACAATGATAGTATTAATTATACTAAGTAATTCCTTATTTAAAGTCTTTATTAAGTAATTATGCGACTTTTTTAGGTTCAGATTTTTATACTTTTAACACTAGGCTCCTAAATGTCTCAAAGTAAATATTTGAATTTATAATTTAAACATTATGTTTTGTTGTATTAATATGATACATTTATTAAATATAATTTTATTTTTATTTGACACCTATTATTAATATCTATATTCCCAGCATGCATTTAACTAAGCTAAAATAGAATTCTGTACACAGCACACTATGTAAAAGCGAATTAAAGGAATTAGGAGAGTAATTTTGGGTCTAACATCACAAAGCCTTATCCGCACTTAAATGCCGGTCTCGTGAACAGTGGGAGAATTTGATAAGAAAATTATATCTGCCTCAATAACAGTACTGTTATCTTTTCGGTCTTAAAAAAGGTAGGCACAATGCTTATTTTACGATTTGCGACCCGCTCCGGCTTCACTTGGATGAAATTATATTAATGTGGCGTTATTTAGACATATGATAATGAAATACTATTTATTTTATAATATTTTCTTTTTTTCAAAAAAAAAAACAATCAATTTTCGCATAAAATTTAGACCACATCACTCCTGGCATCGCTTTCTATCTGTTCGTACAGTTTCATCATATTCGGCTCAGAAATTCAGAAGATTAGACCGGACAGACAGACAAACAGGCAGATAAACAGACAGACAGAGAGACAGATAGCATACAGATAGATAGACAGACAGACAGACAGACAAACAATTTAAAATGCAAACATTTTTTATATAATACCAGCATGAATTTTACAATTGCTTTGCGAAAACCTACAATCAACTAATGTCATTCGAAGGTGTTGGCTTTATCTTTTTGAAATTTCATATTCAATTAATTTTGAATATTGAATTTCGTTGGTATTAAATGTGTCTTTAAACACAATTTTTCTGCCGACTTCCAAAAAGGAGGCGGTACTCAATTCGACTGTATGTTTTTTTTTATGTGTGTTACCTCATAACTTTGTACTTGGTGAACCGATTTTGATGATTCTTTTTTTATATGAAAGCTGATAGTTCTCGTGTAGTCCCATATGAATTTGATCAAGGTCAGACCAATTGTTTTTGAATTATTCTCAAATAACTTATATTGAAGTCGACTTTACAAAATTTTTAATTTTAAATTATTATTTTTGTAGTTAAGTTTGTACAATTAGCACTTTGAAAGTTTGGCTATTGCATCAAAACCATTATAGTTTTTACTCTTGAAATCGACAGTAGGTTTGGCTATTAGAACTTGATTTGTATTCCAAATTAACTAAATATGAAAATAAGTCGAAGGCGAAGGAAATCCTTATTCCGGTGTATTTGGTTTCTCATTCCGAGCCTATAAAATGCAAAGGAAGAAGGTAGGAAGAATAATGCATGATGCTCATTATCCCACAACCAAAATTATTATAATTTAAAAAATATGAACCATCATTTCCCCGGGTGAATGCAATTAAATTAACAAGGTTTTGTTGACCAATTTAGATTTTCTTTACCTGCCTATAGCGAGAGCAAATTTTCCAGAAGTATTATGTTTGCATTATTATGTAGGTAGGTATGTGTAAATGTGTGGTGATATATGGATTGATTGCGTAATAAGCATCCATTCTCATAATCAATATAAACATTTCATACTTATGAAACAAAATTCTACTATACCTAATATATCTTGATAAAAAATTATTTATTTTAACACTCGTCGTATTTTTACAATAGTAGTATAAACAATATGTGGCTCTAAAGCACGATATTGTGTAAAATAGTGATTGATGGACGTAGTGGCATTTTGGGTCTATAAGCTTGAACAATAACCTTGAACAATAATAAAATCTTATTATGGACACGCCCCGGGATTCCCGGGAATATTTTTCTGAATTCCGATGTATTAAATATAGTTAAACTGTTTAAAATATCTTATGTACGCACGACGGCATATCAAACTATTCATTTCCGGTATAAGCTGGCCCCGCGCGGTGCTGTTTGCTATTTTACTGGTCAACATACTTTAAATGGGTAGCTTGACAGTATGTCATCGTGTCTACAACCACAATGACTTTTTAATTTCTCGTCGATGTGAAATATAAATCTGTATGTTACAAATCGTAAGAAACTACTTTGTCTGTAGTTAGTCCGCTCATATGAAGTATAAAAGTTGAGAAACTGAATCTTCTTATTATATTTCAAGAAACACCATTTTTGTTATAATTATTTGTGAAGTATGATAATGATTAAATAATAACAATAAAAACAAAACATTTTCAAAATACAGCAATATATAATCGCAGATATTGAAAATCTACAATATTTGTCCATAGAAACAAAATCTGAAATCACTTGCGCTTCAGTTAACTTGAATCTTGGGTTAACTTAGTACATTTGCAAGATTACTGCCATAAGGTTCGCCTCAGATGTGTTTTCTATTACAAAATTTTATATTGTCTTACTGTTAACTTTGTCTTATATTTCCTAAATGTACTTGCTTTACTAGAAAACTTACAACATATCTGCTTGGGAAGTCAGTGATTTCATAAAGAGAGGCCCACAATTTTTCTTAAGAAATCGTATTGTATATAGTTTCTAGGTTCCGTTTCTGTTTAAATAATTTATCTTAATACATTTTAATATCCCTAATAATGATAGGTATAAAATAAATAAGTAATATTTTCCTGGGATTCAGAAGGCATATCCTTGTTAAGATAACGGTCACTAAATCCCGGAAATAGCACTACCTACGCCGGTCACTAAATAATATAATGTAGCTAGTGAATTATTATCCATAAATATTTATAACTAATCAAATTTGTGAAAGTTATTATAAAATATTATATTATGAAAAATGACCTACGCGTTACTGAAACTAACTGAAAGTGCATGCGTAAAATTGTGCACAGTTTGTATTTTGGGTGTGTATATGGCACGGAATTAGGTGCTCATAGAAATTCTTACCGATCTATTTTACAACGCAATATCGTCTCATATCAAAAAAACTTGTTTGTTATTCCAATTATTAAAAAATGCAAGATTTTATATACTTAAAATGCAAAATAATCTTAAATATAATATCATATTTAATTAATAATTGCTAAAAATTTGATCAAATCGTATGTGAACATAAAATTTCTATCTAGCTTTCCCATACAATGAATTAACAAAATACCATTGATATTCTATAATTAGTGAATGAAACGCAAAAGTGTACCTCGGAAATAAATGTTAGTATTCATTATTTTTAAATTTTCAAACCCAAAGCGCGAAGGGCCTAATCATAGAAACAACCCTGAAATTTAAAAAAGAAATCAAGTATCTGAAATTGCTATTCCGTGGTATACATCGGAATAAGAAACCGGCTGAAATATTTGGCGCCTAATGCCGCAGTATTTTCAAGACGTATTTTCACCTTGATTTATTCATAAAAACACGTAAAACTTTATATAAATATAATCAATGCTATCGTTTAACTCAAAGAACACATGGTACAAACATAGTAATCACATGTAAAAGGTTAAAAATGTATGAAGAGTGGGTTCAGACCAGCTGTTAACGCAAAACTAACCAATTATTTTAAAAGTTATTCATATTATTCCAGATCTTTAATGATATAATCACGCAAAGTTATATTATCAATTCAATAAGAGATCTTTCAGTAAAAAAGAGCTTGTAAATCGCTTGTAACGTAATTTTTCTAAATATCTAGGACTATGGTGCCAATTTTATAACCCCTCGGAATTAGGTGTCTTTACCTTACTAGATTAAAAAATATGTTGACGTTTGGCAAATTTTATTTCATACGTCGAAAAAAAGACATTAATTTTATTTATTTCTTTTAGTCAAATTTCAGAGGTAATTGAATTTATGAAAACTTACAATTTTCAATTTAAAGTTCATATGTGAGAAAAAGAGACTTATTTCATTTATTTCTTTTGGTTTAATTAAAATATTATACCTTATTTAATTTTTTAACCTTTTTACAATATAAGTCCATTTTTCTTGGATTAACTTGGTCCAAGTAGTTTCCTGGACTCTGCTTTCTTGCTTATGAGTGATGTTATGTGTATTACGTCATCATCATCATCATCATCATTACAGCCTTTCATAAGTCCACTGCTGAACATAAGCCTCCTCCAAGGAATGCCACAAAGCACGGTCCTGAGCCACCTGCATCCATCGACTTCCTGCATGTATTAACAGGTCGTCACTCCATCTCGTGGGGGGTCGCTACGAGAGTACGTAACGTGATTGAATTGATGACTCAAGTGGTTAGCGAATCTGATTCTACTGGTCAGGTCCCGCGTTTAAGACCCAACAAGGTCAAGCACAAATTGGTAGAATATGTTAGAGTATGACAACAGGTTAAGTTCGACAGACTAAGATGAAATGTTTTGTTATCAGTAAAAGCGATCTCCAGTTTGTGTTATCCCCAGCGAAGGCAGCAGCGATGTGGTTGCTCATTTAAGTTGTTATTCTATGTAATTATAATAAATATTTAGATGACGTGTTTTTTTTTTCAGAATGCCGATGACAAAAGTATTGAAAACAGAGCCTTTAGAACACACAATATACGACTCGGCGCATCGACTTGGAGTACTCTTGGAAAACTGCGATATTTATAAGTGTCCTTTATCACTCGTAGACTGGGCTCAAGGATACTATAATGCTCCAGCACCAAAAATTGACACAGCAAGGAGTCCTTGGGCCTTATTCAGCAGTAACTTCGGTTAATTTTGTTCTTCGTTCCTTTTTGATGTGCAATGAAAATGTATTTTTCAATAAAAAAAATATTTATTTATATTTATATTCTACTAAAGCCTTGGTTATTTTTTTTTATTATTTTACTAGCCTAGGCAGATCCACTGTCGCGTATAAACTTTACAATATCCCGCTAACTTCTAACCCACCTTGAAAGATATATATTTAAATATACTTTTATACATAATATATATTACGTACATACATACATACATATAATCACGCCTCTTTCCCGTACGGGTAGGCAGAGATCACTTCTTTCCACTTGCTACGATCCTTGCATACTTGTTTCGCTTCGTCCACTTTCATTATTCCCTTCATACATGCTCTACGGTTTAGGGTACTCTTGACCTGGCCTTATGTAATTACTACTATTATAACGGTGCTTGTTACGGACTGCCTTGTTAGTCTAGTGGTCGTTAACGCTATTGCTGATCAAGAGGTCCTGGGTTCGAATCCTGGGTCGGGTTTAAATCAGTTACTGGGTTTTTCGTGTTAAGAAATTTTCAGTAGCAGTCCGGAGTCATCAAGTTGGCGGTGTTTTACCCCCGTGCCTCGGAAAGCATAAAAAAAGTTGTTGGTTCTGCACCTGATCTCTCTCCGGTAGTGTCGTATTACCATCCGAATATACTATGAGAGAGAAGAGAGTGCACCTGTACTTGTGCATACACTTGGGCACTATAATCATGTGCTAGTCTCCATTGAGACTGGATGCCGTGACCAAAATTCAGTCCGTAGGGTAGTCATTATAACGGTACTCCGTTAAGGGTCCTCTGTTCAAATTCATGACTCATATCGAAGTAGTCATCACACATTTTTGATTTTTAGTTTGGGTAAATTTCGATTGTATCCCTGTCGCTAGTAGTAAGAGTCACAAAGAGAGGCTCTTTACTGCCCTATCGGATACAGTTGGGTTGGAACGAGTGAGTGAATTAGTGTTTGCGTGTACACTTCTTCCACCAAGATATATCCAAGGCAATTGAAAATTTTTGATATAATCGTCGTTGTGGTTGAAATCTATCGGAGTATCACGATAGATTTATTCCAGATCACCATATTATGTGAAGTAAGCATAATATAACGAACACGTTCCGTTACAAAAAATTCTCTTCGTCAATCTCTTCTGAATACACCCAGAATATTTATAAGTTCAACTTTATAGGAACGATGGAACCCCACTGTACAATTAAACCAACAGTAGATTAATAATTATGGTACATGACCTCAAAACTAAATAAATCGAATTAGTCATTTCAATGCTATCCTAAACTGGTCCTTGATTCACACATGTACAGTTACTTAAGGTAGTAAACGGAAGAAATTGTAATTTTAATGCTTCTTTAGATATTAATTATTTCATAAATTCCAGGTAGATTATTAATGAAATAGCTTTTTGCTTAATGACAAATAATTTGTATCTTCATTAGCAGATTCGTAACTATATATTCTCTAGGCTGAGCTTGAAATAAAACGCGAAATATTTTATTATTAACGCATAACATTTAATATTTATAGTTCATATTTATAATACATTTTAATATTAGCGTAAGAATTCTTGAGTGTATTCATAATAGTAGGTGTTAGTGCTTGATTTTAAATTATTTTAACATTACAAAATGGGACTTATGTTTAAAACTTACCGCTTACGTTATACATATTAATTCACGATCCTTAATGTTACGTTCACGCCTAACGTCCATATACATAAACCCTTACATTTATTTACTTTACACGTTTATAGAATACCGTAAATTATTGAGCTATCGTGACTTAAATACTAACGTATTTATTATGTATATGTATTTAGCATAGTGCATAAATTTTATCGTTACAATCAGTGGCAATTATTATTAACATGATACAAACAATTTTGAATGAACAAAGTTACACTATATTATCGATTAATTCTAATTTATTTACCTATTGAAATATTTTCATAGAAGACTATTATTGTGTTACAGTATCTTATACGTATATTAAAATAAATTTAGGATTTAAATTTCATGTACTAATTATTAATTATATTTTGTAATATTAATGTGGTGTTCGTTTGCGTTATGTCATTTTCACTGGTCGTTGTGTTTACTTAATAATTGATGACAATATTATAATACCTACATTATTTAAAAGGAAAGTGTAAGAAACCAATTTTTTCAAGATATGTAGAATATTACATTTTTAAATATTTCGATTTTCTATAATATAAAACAACTTTAAATGTTCTCTTTCCCTTGAAATATGGTTATCGTATTCAATATCAATAAAACTTAGTTGTTAACAATGTTTATAATTAATTTAATCGAAAAAGCAAATATTATTATTGATTATTAAAAATTCAAGTAATAAAAAGGAAATAAACTTTAGCACTATTTAGAATTGCAAGTGATATTTCAAAGGTGATACAGCTAACATATACTATTAAAACTGTTAAGTGGTTGTAATACTCCAAATAACAAATGACGTACGTATCGTTCATGAACTACCAACCATCAAATATGTTGCCGAGGGAATTGAGTGAATTAAATTTCCAACAATGCTATTCGATAACGTGTGGGATGAACAATAGTCTGCTGACATTGATTGCGTTTAGCAAATATTTAGACGAACAATTTCGAACCATTGAATTTGAGTAACTTCAATCCAGATTTGTATCACGTTGTTGCGACATTTCGAATTTATAACATCATTTACCCCAGGTTAATTGTTTGTATTAATAGCTAATACAATAAAAACACTTGTAATTTCGTTATCATCAACGTAACTAGCTATTCAATTTTACGATAAATGCTTTCTTTCAAAACGCCTAGTCCTTGATAAAATTTAACTTAACAAGTGAATCTTAATATAATATCTAAAACTTTAAATCAAATATTATTTTTATATGACTTAAAATAATTTACAACAAATTAATTATATCTTTTATTAATGGAACATTAACAAACAAACCTAGATTACTAACTAAATATTTTGTATTCAATGTATAAGTTACACATCTATGATGTGTTGAAAAACATCTGTAAAAATATTGCCATCAATGTTCAGTATCAAACGCCGTTACTCGTGACTAGAAAGGTGAAAATAAGAATCATAACAAACGAAAAATTTTTTACAACTAGTAGAGGACATTACATACTATTAGTCATATAAGACGAAATTTTGAAACATACATTAAATCTTAACCTACCATATTATGCGACATTGCGCCAATAATAAAACAATTTTAATATCATTTATCTTACATAATACTTATGCAATATTTTATTACTTCACCAGTACAGTTGCTTAACGAGATATAAATCAAAATCATGCACATTATATTATTACACTCCGTTTTGATAAAAAATCTAATATACTTGATTTTTCATATCAAATTGGAGATTCACAAGAACTTAGATGTAATACTAATAAAATAAGGCACACAGAAAGTCTAGAACAAATGATCGATAATACTGAAACTAACTATAGAATTATTAATCCAAATGAATCCCGAGTAATGTGTTTATAATAGGGTGAATTAATAAAAAAAACTTCATAAAATTTTGGAAGTTACATAAGAAAATAATTCTAGATATTCGCAAAAGGAGAGAAAATTATAAAGATGATTAGCATTAGTGACCAAAATTTTAATAAAAATGCTTCAGTAAACCTAAGTTTAAAACAGGAACCTAAATAAAAAAGGTGAGAATGGTATTAATTATTTCTGTATTTACATCTAATCGTGTTGGAAGCTCAACGCAAATTTCGTGTGGTTTGTCTACTTAATATTACAATTAATATTAAATTTATTTTATAAATATAGTAGATTGTTTTATATTTCTCGTAATACAACATTGTGGATTTGTTAAATAAATTAATATCATATTTACCTAAAAATAATAATTTTCTAAAAAGTAAATAAAAATATAAAGTGTTTTTTAAAGAACCGACTATGAAATGAAGCTCTAATAAAATTTAATTGATAGGATAAAATTAATATCCGTTAAATCAAATAGTTAAGATATTGAAAACAATCTTACGTCACTTTTGGAAGACGTTTGATTAAACATGCAAATACGCCTAACTTACATAGGTATTTATAATATAAGAAGTTTCATATTATATTTATGAATACTATAATAAGAAGAGAAGTATAAAAAAATAGATGATAAATAATCGACACCGTGCAATTAAACAAGTATAAGAAAGTGCTATTGAGAAAATACTATACGAAACTCTACACTTCAATGAACCTAATTATAAAGCGTTTCGGATTTCTGTCGATTTCATTACAAAACAAACCTTACAATTACAAGAATAATTAAATAATGAGAACATATCAATTTTAAACGCAATTTGCATATCTGTTGACTGAAAGTACTTATTGCTTTTCATTACTTTAACTATCGACGAAGCAAAAACTTACAAAAAATTCTAAGACATTTACCACTACAATTCTAATTAGCACTAAAGGTATTGTGAAAGGAACGTAGAAAAATAACTTGTCAATTTAATATTATTTTTAAATTTCTATGTTGATCATCTATATGTACATGCCAACATTTCGGTTAAGTTGATTTCTTAAAATTACTGACAGCCATGTGATAGCTGACTATGAGTTAGCAGCTCCATCACACGATGTAGACAAACTTGCTATGAACATCTGGATGAAAATATTTAGAAGCAAAAAAGAATTTTTAAAACAATTTTTCACAAGTATAAAACTACATGGCAAAAAAATCCAAATAAAATATTGAATGCATTAAATTCATTTTTGGGTTAGAGGAGAATATGTTTATTTTTCGAGTTAGTTAGTTTTATCGAGATCGAGAGTTATTTTTCGAGTGTTAGGATAAATCGGGTAAATAATTTTTAAATTTTTTGTAAATTACATTATCTAAGATAGTAAAGTATCAAAAATAATAATATAATAAATTACACGAACAAATGTACTAATAGCAAGAATATTCTGTTAATACTAGTATTATAGGGTTTTC